TCTCCCATGGCATAGTGGCCCAGACCATACTATCTAGTTATCTTGTGGTGTCCCGGTAGATCTGCCGTTTGTGCTTCGTATTTTACCGTGCTTCGTGGTCTACGTGTTGTATCGTAGGTGATTTCCGTGCTCTGTAGCAGCTACGTGCTCTAGCCCGGTTTTAGGTAGAGAGTCTAACAGAGTCCGTGACTCTTAGTGCTTTCATAGATTTACATGTTAATTGCATCGGCCCGCTTCCGTGCTTTGTAGCTCTGTGTCCATATTAATTTCCCCTCCGTCGTACATACTGTTTCGTACTGCCCTACAAATCCAGTTCGATAAGCTCGCACCTTCTCCTAGGCTCACGCCCTGTCCTAAGCTCCCATACAACGCACCTAAACACGAAAGTAATTGTGACCAATGGAAAACGTTTATTTTTAGCCAATCAGTTTTTCTAGTGATTACGCGGATGTTCGTTGCGCTGGCGAGGTTTCCAGCGACGACGGCGGCGATTAATGCGCTCCTGGACAACACGCCGCGGCGGTTGTGGGGGCCCCATAGCGGCGGCAACTAAGGCCAGGCTTTGTTGGCGCGAATCAGTGGCTGGCTGCGGTTCTGGTGTGCGTGGGCGGTGCCAAAACGCCTGGCTGTATGGACCAGAGGCGCACGCGATGCACCTGCGGGCACCCGCTCGAGCCTCGCCCTGTGCGAATGCATCCCATGCTAAGAATTGTTCGCAACAGGCGCACAGCCGGAGCTGCAGCCCTAGACCGTCTGGCTCGAGCGGGGGGTGCACAATGACCGCCTGGCACGTCGAGCACATGGGAGGTAAACGTTCCATTGGAGAAATGTTTTATTAAAAAACGTTTTTTTTTAATTAGTAATATTATTTTTTAAGTATTAAACTAAGTATTTCGAAGTATTGAATTACTACTTTGCTAAAATGCGATCCAGTGGTGTCGCCAGGGCCTAAAAAAATCAACAGCGCCTACGACGATATAATAGTACCGGTGTGCACGTCGGCGAAGCCTACCAATGTAAATTAACCCGCACACACGCAGCGCCCTTTGCGTGAGGTGGCTCCAGCGTTTAAAATGGGGGCAAAATGAAATTTGAACTGTGCATTTTAAGTACAATGTGTAGACCACATATAATATGTACACCACATTTTGCAATTTTAGCGAATCGAGGCCGCCTTCGCTGCGCTCGGCAGCCAGTAGAACGCGCGTATTTGCGTTACATTTTAGAACCCTACCCTCGGACGGACAGACGGACACCAGACTCCACTAGGGGGGTAAGACTAGCCGTTCGCCGCCGCTACGCGGCGGAGTGGCATGGTTTGTTGGAGATGAGGTGGCCGCAGATTTAGATGCTTCTTGGTGTCGCGTACTTTGTTAACGTCGTTCACCCCAGTAGATCTTGGCTTCGTGTACTTAACTATTTGCCTCTTTCGTGGCCGTTGGCCTCCCATCGCTGGTACTCTGGCCGAAGAGTGCTATTCCGTGGTTTGGCGCATTCACGCAGTCGTATTATTCCATCACCCGTGTATCGTGCTCTCCTGGTGAGGTTCCATCGACCGCGGTATCACGCTATCGTGCAATCGCGGTGTGGTAATGCTGTCTATGGTATTGTGCTCGCGTAGTGCACCTGCGTTGCCCGTGCTATTGTGTTTTGCAATGGCATCGTACTCCACAATGTGGAATCGTGGTCCCCCTAAGAGCCCCCTCGTTTATTTCGTGGCTGGTCCACCGTCTGCGCAATCGTGTTCTCATGTACTACTGTCCTTCGTGGCTCGGTAAGCTCAGGTTCTACACTGGTATGGTGTTCCGTGGCTTGATGGTCTTCGGTCTAGGGTGCTATTCCGTGGTTTGGTGCCTCCGTGCAGTCGTGTGGTTCCGTCACCCGTTCCATCGACCGCGTTACCATGCTATCGTGCAATCGCGGTATGGCAATGATGTCTACGGTATTGTGCTCGCGTAGTGCATCTGCTTTGCCCGCGTATCGTGTTCTACAATGGTATCGTGCTCCGCGGTGTGCAACCGTGGTATCCCGAATCGTTTCCCTGTGACTTCGTGGCTGGCACGTCGTCCGTGCAATCATGTTGTAATGCACTATTGTCCCTCGATGCTAGGTGACCTCAGGCTCTACACTGGTACCCGGCTCTGTGGTTCGGTGATTTCGCGTGGCTGCGTGTTCTCCCACGGTTTAGTGGTTAATCCAACGTCTATGCTGTCGTTTATGGCGTGGTGTTGACGTTGATCGGTCGTCCAGGCTATCGTTAGCTACCGTAGTATCGTGTGCCGTGGGTCGGTGGGCTGTCCTCGTATCGTACTCCAATGTTCAGTGATTTCCCGCTTATGCTCTCCCGTGAATTCGTGTTTGGCCGTCGACCGTGCTTCGGGGTAACCTGTGGTGGGAGAACTCCTACCCGTGCACTCGCACAGCTGCGTGGTCTACCGTGACTGTGAACGTGCTCTCTCTTGGTCCGTGCTTTTTCAGCGTGTTGGCGTTTCATTATTTCAGCTCTCACCCGCTGTCATCTGATCGTGCGGCTCCGTGTTCTTCAGGCTCTTCCCTGGTTCGTGCTTCGTATGAAATTTCGTGGCCCTATTCTTATTTCGTCCGTGACTTTCCGTATTTCAAGCTGTTCCTTCTATCGCGTTATGTACATGATCTGACTCGGTGTTCCTCCGTGTTTCGTGTTCTTGTTTAATCACGTGCCTCTACGCTAATTCAATCACAAACACTGCTCCCACTGCACTGCATGTATGTTACGTATCGTGTTCGAGAGGGCGCACATGCTCTTAGGGGTGCAAAATACGCGCTAATACAAAGAAAACGTTCTTTTTTTTAGTGGCGGAGAAGTGCACATGGTTATGTGCGGTGGAAGCCACTATATTCATATTTTAAATATTTAATATTAATAATAAATTGTGCATCTTCATCTAACGCAAATAGTATTAGATATAAAGTGCATTTAAATTTGATAAGCGCTACTAAATTAATTTTGTGTAGTACTACTACAAACGTCTGCAGGCAATAATATGAGACTTTAGAATAGTACTAAGCAAAATTATCTTAGAAAGTAAAAAAAATGCTACAAAGCTAAAACAAATCATATTATAACCAATAAGTACTAAAGGCTTCATTTAAGCCGAAATATAAGTCACCAAGGCCTACAATTTTTTCAAACAGCTCCTACGACGATATACTACGTGTGTGCGCGTTGGCGCCTTCTACATCTTCATCTAACGCAAATATGATACAATACTTTAAGGTTATTAGTATTAGATATAAAGTGCATTTAAATTTGATAAGCGCTACTAAATTAATTTTGTGTAGTACTACTACAAACGTCTGCAAGCAATAATATGAGACTTTAGAATAGTACTAAGCAAAATTATCTTAGAAAGTAAAAAAATGCTACAAAGCTAAAACAAATCATATTATAACCAATAAGTACTAAAGGCTTCATTAAAGCCGAAATATAAGTCACCAAGGCCTACAATTTTTTCAAACAGCTCCTACGACGATATACTACGTGTGTGCGCGTTGGCGCCTTCTACCAATGCTAACTAACGCGCGCACAGGCAGCGCCCTTGCGTGAGGTGGCGCTCCAGCGTTAAAAATGGGGGCAAAATGAAATTTGAACGGTGCATTTAAGTACGATGTGTTGACCACATACAGTGTGTACACCACATATTGCAATTTTAGCGAATCGAGGCCGCCTTCGCTGCGCTCGGCAGCCAGTAGAACGCCCGCATTTGCGTTACATTAATTAACCCTAGCCCGTTACGGACGGACTGACAGACAGACACCAGACTCCAGTAGGGGGGGGGGGTAAGATACTTCGGCACTTACTGGAAACAAAGCCTTCATGTAAAAAGCGAGACCGCCTTTTTGCATACCTCAAAATGAAACCGGTTTCCTACCGGCAGAGCCACTGAGAATTCTGAAAATGACTGTTAGACGGAATTTGCAGGACATTTGCAGGACATTACCATGTCAAATTTTCAACCAACCACTGACAAGTGTATACAGGAATTTAGCCCAATGATTAGCTTTGTTTTCGAGCCCTACGATGCAGAGCCACAACAGAAATCCACGAGAGCTGTCCTCGACGCCGCTTGCGCTTGCGTGCAGTCTGCTCGGGAACCTCGACGCTCTTTGAGCACGCTGCGAAGGTGTTAAGAGCGTCAGCGACACTCTCTCGAGCTCGCCACAATCCGGTACGTTTTGCTGCGTCCTCAATCATTCGCATAAGGTAACGCGCATCACTAAGCCGCTTTTGGAGGTTTCTGTTAGGCATGTCACGCCCGTCAAGCACTCGCAACGGAGGGGTTTTCTTGCTGGCATTTCCGCACTGCCAGAGCACCCACAGTGCGCTAACCGAGCAGTCTGGGAGATCAAAATCAGCGGGGACACGCCGAGACTTCCCACCCCAAAAGTGCGATGAGTGCATGTAAGTGTCGTTTTCGTCCTCTTGAGTATTGGTTTGATGATCTTTTGTGTTGAGCTTTTCCACCAAGGCGGCCACGCCTGCAGATTCCAGGCATCTCTTAAGGGCGTTGTCAAGACCATCAAAGGTTACGACACCTGCTCCGATTGCTCTCTCCTCAAGCACTGCCATGACATCCTTAACAGTTCCAGCGCGTGCTGCGTCGACGTGCTCAACGGTCTTGTGCGCCACTTCAAGTAGCTTTTTTATTTCCCGTAGAATTGAGACGTGTGGCGGTACTCCAGTGGCATGCAGCCGAGTACTGTCATCGTCAATCCTGTAAATCCTTTGAGACAAATCCAAAAGAAGTGTAGGATGCTGAAATAAAGGGGACTCTAGCAACGAGTGTTTTGCATCGAGTTTTGACTGTAGATACGGTGCGTGGTAGACCAGAGAAGCTAAGCAAAATTCGCCCACGAAAGAAAGTTGAGAAGGTAGACCAGGGAATACACAGTGAACCCCCTTCTCGACGACGTCGTCACGCTCATCAAAATGCGGGGGAAGTACGGCAAATTTATGACTATCAGGAGGGAGACCAGACACAGTTCGTCCCACGTGCATATCGCCTGCCGATTCATACCGTAGATACGTATTTTGCACGCCACCTAGCGACCATCCCGCTCTCAAATGTACTGCTGTCGACGACGGGCATGCCGTTGAGCCAGATGCGCAGAACGTCGCGGCTCCTTTCCTCATAGAGTGGGTGCCGAGGTCATCGCCGCTAATACCACGCCGGCGTAGCTCCTCAGCTGTGTCGTCTCGGTCAAATAATCGATGTAGACATTTGCGGAATCGCTCATATTGACTGTTCCCAGGAAATAGAAGATCACTACCATCGAACGATGAGGTTGCCCAAAACATAGCAATAGCCAGCACTGGACATATAGATGGGTTCAGCGGATTAGCGTAAATGTGCTTCGGGTCACGGGGCCTGGTACCTTCTTGGTCATTTTTCTGGTGAGCAAAATAAATACAAAGAGCATCTCCGTTCCATTCCATGTGCCCGTGACGAATACCGAAAGCATTGGCGGATCTACACATTAGATTCCAGGCGACAGCCATGTAGGTACGGGCGAAAATCATATCCTTTGAAGAGTGCGTAATTAGTTGCCCACAGAAGAAACTGTAGAGATCAAACGACAATGGGTCCTTGCCTGTCTTCGTCCGGACTTCACCACGAGCTGCAGCGGTCGCCCTCTCTCGCTTCAATCCTTTAAAGTACGTTTGCAACTCTTTCTCCATTGCAGCCGGGATTCCCAGTCCGTAATCCCGGTACAAATTGAAGAGACCCGCTCTGTGCGTGTTCAGCGCGGAGTAGCTTAGGCTGCTGCCGTCCGGCTTCTTCAGGGTCAATAGCCACGCTCCAAACTCGTCCATCTGTAGAGCCTCAAACCGAAGAGGAGGGGTAGCAACATCACAGTCTAGAAGAGGCTTTAGGAGCTTTCGCATCTGCTTGATAGACAGACCCGTTGTATCACCAAGACGTGCCCCAAATACCGGGGAAACTAGGTGTGGCCTGTTGATGACAATCCATGCTATGAACCGACCGTATGAGTTCTTGTATACAGCCCGAGAACGTGCACTAACTGTGTTGCGCTTTATTTCCGTGACCTTCCTTGCGAGATCTTCCCAGTCGACGTCCTCCATCGTTCTGCTCGAAGGAAGAAAAAAAGTGTATGAATCTTTGTATGCGTATTCATCTGGACAAATGTCCTGCAAAATTGTGAAAATCAGGAATTATTCCCCCACTATAATCAGATCCAGTCTTTGCTCTCGTTGTACCTCTTTTCATTTGGAAATTGCAGGACACATTGTCCTGCAGTAACGAATCTGATGGGTTCAATGTCCTGCAAATTCTGTAGAATGGAGATACATCATGTATCATACATGTACTGAAATAAACAAGATGGCTTTGAACAGGGTTTCGAGTTTGCAGACACGTTATTTGTTTGTACAGGGGATGCGTAAGTAACTTACGTCGTGGAGCCATCTTCGCGAATCGTGAATCGCTATGGTGTGGGAGGGCACGTCGCCGCTGCTGCCGACGGCGCACCGCCGTACGCGCAACGCCAGCACCGGCAGCTTCCCGGAGACTCATGCAGACACGCCAGACTCGCCACGTACGCGGTTCAAGGAGCGGGAGAAGGCTGCGGCCGCTCGTGCACTTCCACGTCAACGGGCACTGCGCCGCGTCCCGGCACTGTTAGGACTGCTGGCTGTAGGTTTCGTACTGGGCTACTATGCACAGTTACTGCTGTTCTTCTGCCACGTGCGACTGGGCTACACGGCGGAGGTGCTTCCCACAACGGAGGTGACGCTGGTGGAGAAGCTCACGGCGTCACTCATCGAGCACACACAACGCGTCGTGTTCGTGTGCAAAAAGACCAACTGGGACTTCATAGGCTTCATCGCTAGTCCACACACAATCCTGTTCGCACACGACGATGTGGCGGTGCCCTCTGCACTCGAGGAGAGTCTGCGAGTGGTGCGTCACTCGGGCGTGGACAGCTACATGAACCTACACAACAAGACAGTGACCATCATGAGCCACGTACACGCCGCAGATCCGCGCAATCATCTAATGAAACAGGACGACGAGGCTATCATCTATTGGCCACACTACTATCAATGTCTCAAGAAATGCACCGACTTGGACTCGTGCTACGCCGGCGACATGCACGTGAATCTCGGCGATGTGGTCAACACCAACTCGTACGTGTTCGCCACGGGAGGCTCGTACTTTGTAGGTAGTGCGCTATTGAAGTGCATGCTGGAGAAACCCATTTTCGTCGAGCTGGACGGACTCGACTATGGCGAGGACAAGACAGTGGGCAAGATGATCCACTACAACCGCTGCAAGGTGCAGTACGTGAGCTG